TCTCCTTCTAGGGCAATCTATTCCTCATGCAGGGCGATGAAAACCTCGCCAGCTTGCAAGCTGCAACATACTGCTTGTCCTTACACTGATGTCTTAGCAGCCGTGTCTGGTTTGTTTTCTCCAGACCCTGCTCTTCCAGCGTTGCAACGTGTCGGCTCTTTTGCTCTGGGAAGTCTGTGCCCTGCCGTCTTCTGCGCAGGGAAGCAAAATCTCCAAGTCCAACAGCAACATCAAACTGGAAGATTAAATAAAGCGAGTGCAGGCACAACGCATCCAAGGTTGCCTCGCCTCGGGTGTCTTACAATCGAAACTGCCTTAGAATGACATCCTTAGTTAGCCTTAGTTCTCTTCTGCTTCCGCCGGAGTGTTGATGCGTGTCGCTAGTCAACCCTCAACTGCATAACCTTGGAACGCGTGCACCGCACGTCAACACGCAATGCTTGGGCAGTGCTGTGGCCAAGAAGCGGTGTAGGCACAGGTCACGGAGCCGTGCACTGAGCTGCTTAGCAGCGCTGCGGAACTCTACGAATTCTCGGGCTCTCATCGAGCCGTGCTGAGAGGCTCAGTCCATGTACTCCCCGGCCGCTGTGTCAGGAATTGAAGCTCCTTCATCGATCGGATAGGCCGCTTCCTTGCCTCTCCCACGGACGCTGCGACGAGTCTGCAACTTCCTGTGCCCCTTGCTGAGGATGCAGGCTGGGCTGGAGAAGACGGCCACTGGCAAGTCCGGCTTGAAGACGATCTTCAGCACGTTGCACTCCATGGGCAGTGTCTCTGCGCTGGTGAGCGCAACCGGCTCCCCTGAATCCAGCATCACGAACTCGCCCACCTTGAGCTTGCCGGCCGGCATGCAAAGAGGGCGTCCCGCGTTGCCACCTTCATTGGGAATCTGCACGGGATGGTCCGGGGTCACCCGCAATGTTGCAGTGCCTGCCTGCAAGTCAACCACTTTCGTAGTTTGTGCTTCTTTTGAGATGTCGACCACCTCCAGAACGGTCTTGCCATCGCCAGCCAGGACCTGCGACCCTTTTTGGAGGTCACTCCCTTCGCGGAAGAAGTCCATTCGACTCTTGAAGATGGCATCCAGCATGAAGCAATTCTGCTTCACGGAACAACCGGAGGA